ATAAACTAATGAACCATCATGGATTTGACATCCATACCCTTCCTTTTCCTTGATAAGATCAATGATAAGATCAATAAGATCCTTGATAAATATTTGTACCAATATTTATTGTTTTGGAGTTAATGTTAAACTTTATTCCAATTAATAAGTAATATTTACAACATTCGAGCGGCCGTGTTGTATGGGATTTTACAAGATTGTAAAGCCCATACAACACGTACGCAAATGTTGTAAATTACTTGTGAAATGTTTAGGTGTATACATTCATAATCTACTAAAAACTTCAAGATAAAATTGAATTTGGCTGAGAAAATTAGATTTGAAGTTTATGCAAATCAAGACAGTTTTTTACCAAATATTACAACACTCTTCACGGTTGTGATTTCTATTGTGTTTTCCTCATTAACTATTCATGAGTTTTATAATGTACATTCTAATGTTGTTTCCCCTTTGCCAGGATTGCTACCCTGTAGTGTTAGGTGGAGTCGAAGAAACACAAGAACTCCTGAAACAAAAATATGATAAGATATTTTATACAGGTGGTGGAGCAGTTGGTAGACTAGTCATGGAAGCCGCAGCAAAGAATCTAACAAGAGTAACACTAGAGCTTGGTGGAAAAAGGTTCTTTTTGTCTTCTTTCTTTAATAATTAGTGAAAATCAGGGTTCAGGCTACTCCTTGAAATCCTTGAAAAGTCCTGGAATTGAAAACTCATTTTCAAGGGCGCTTGAAAAATCCTTGAAAGTGGGAAAAATCATTAAAACTCCTGGAAAACTCTTTGTATCTGATAAAATTGACATGTTGCTTGTTGCTTTTTGATTGAAATGTGGCTACTTTTGAAAACCGCCTCTTGAAATGTCCGGAAAACATCAAAAAATAACTTCAAAATTAAAAAGTACTTGAAAATTCTTCGAATTTTGTAGTGACAAATAATATAGCATGAACCCTGGAAAATGTTGATGATAGAGATGATTTATGATGTAGATAATGTGATTATAACAATTCCTTAATATTTTTTTAATCAGCCCATGTTACATTGATGATGAATGTGATTTAGCTGTTGTGGCAAACAGACTTGCTTGGGGGAAGTTTAGCAATAGTGGGCAGGTATAGACAGTATTAGTTTGAATCAGAAATCTATAAGGGCCTTGAAACATGTAACACCCATACATTTCTTTAGTGCCAAGTGTCGGAATATTCAAAGCTCATTAAAAATTCGAAAACGAACGTTATGACCATATTTGGAAAATTCGGCCGTTGAATAAGAGATTTAAGGCCCGTTCTTCTGGTTGGCTATAGGGTAAATTTAATTGTTCCAAATAAGGTCAAATAAGCGGGCAAATTACATTTGAATATTCCAACGGTTGGCACGTCGTTACACGTTTCAAGTCCCTTATAGGTTTCTGTTCGAATATATATGTAATATTTACAACATGAGCGGCCATGTTGTATGAGCCGAAGGCGAGAGGTTGTAAAGCCCATTCAACATGGACGCGAATGTTGTAAATGACTTGTGAAACGTTTAGGTGTATACATGGATAATCTACTAAAAACCTACTGAGAAAATTGAATTTGGCTGAGAAAATTAGATTTGAAGTTTATGCAAATCAAGACAGTTTTGTATCAACTATTACAACACTTTTTCTCATTAATTCTTCATGAGTTTTACAAGTGGTTATATATGTGATCTGAGATGGTGTAATAGATGTAGTAAATGAATGATCTTACCATTAGTAAGTGAGGAGCTCAGAAATTTGGGATTTGAACCCACAACCTTCCGTATTCTAGTCAGATGCTCTAACAACTGAGCTAATGGGACAGTATATGGTGAGCTCCTCACTTATTAAGCCCCGTCTACACGAGCAATTTTTATGTGTCAATTTTTAATTGCCCGTGTAGATGAGCAAAATTGGCCAATTTTTATGTGACAACTGTAGTTGCTGGAAAGCTGGCATGCTAGTTTTTATGTGACAACTAAAAATTGTCACATATCGAAAATTGCCCGTGTGGACGAGCGTCACATAAAATGTGGCAATTATTTTGACGTTACACTAAATCCCAGTCTCAACATTTTGCACACCAACCAAGATGGCCACGCCGATAGTAAGCAGAATGACCAGATTGACAGAGAGAATGGTATTATTGTTTTTGTAAGAGCTAAAACCAACCAACTTTGCTTTGTTTATTGGCATCTCCGCTGTGCAAAATCACACTTGGCACAAATTTTCAACAATTATTTGCTGCCTGTCCACACGGACAAATAAAAATTGCCAAATATATTTGTCACATAAAAATTGCTTGTGTAGACGTGGCATTAATGGTAAGATCATTGATTTGCTACAGTATTATTTTGAGTGATTGTAAATTTGTTAAAGCTACAAGAATGCCAGTGAGTTCAGAATTTAATTTTACTAAGTTTATTTCCAAGTGTCTTTCTCCCAGAATAACCTACTTTCTAAGCACTATATCTTTTTATTATTTCTGTTTTAATATGTGTATGATTTTATCTTTTTAACAGACTTGTGTAGCACCTGATTATGTATTATGCAGCCCAGGAATACAAGCAAAACTAATAAAACATTTGAAGGAAACATTATTTGAATTCTATGGAGAGGTATAATTATTATGATTAGCCGACTGATTGACTGACTGATTCCTTTGATGATAGACTGAAGGATTGATTGATTGATTAAAAAACTAATTTGTTGATTGACAAATTGGGTGATTGATTGATTGATTGGATGATAGACTAACAGATTGGTTAATTGATTCATTGACTGGTTAATTGATTCATTGATTGATTGGTCAATTGATTGATTGGTCGATTGTTTTGTTGATTGATTCATTGATTCATTGATTGATTGATTGATTAATTGATTAATTAAATGAGAGATTGGGTGATAGACTAACAGATTGGTTAATTGATTCATTAATTCATTGATTGATTCATTGATTTTAAACAAATTGATTGATTGACAGATTGGGTGATTTATTGATTGGATGATAGACTAACAGATTGGTTAATTGATTCATTAATTCATTGATTCATTGATTGATTCATTGATTTTAAACAAATTGATTGATTGACAGATTGGGTGATACACTGATTGATTTTGTTAACGTGTTGTTATGTTGTTTAGGATGCAAGAGATTCTTCTAACTTTGCAAGAATAATAAATGACAGACATTTTCAGTAAGAACTTAAGAAAGGAATTTTGTCTCAATTTTTTTTAAAACTTTTTCTTTTTACCTATCTACAAAGCATTTGCAAAATATGTTCATTTTAAATATTTTTTCTGTAGACGTCTAAAGAAGTTGTTATCCCATGGAGAGTGTGTGATTGGTGGAGAGACCGATGAAAAAGACAGGTTTATCAGTCCTACAGTACTTACAGGGATTAAACCATCGGATCCTGTTATGGAAAGTGAGGTAATCATCAAACTGAAAAACGTTTTCAATGATGGTCATGTGTATGAGCCCTGCATAGCTTGGGGGTCACTCTGTCACTCTTGGAAAAAAGTGCACAACAACCTACAGCAAAAGGCTCCCTAACCATTTCCCTCCACAAACTATAATATAACCAAAATTCCCAACCACAACAGCATTGTAAGATGGTTGGTGAAGTGCCATTAAGGCGTGGACGATTTAGATTTGTAAAATTTATCTTTGCTCAAATGTTTTTATCCTTTTTTGTAGATATTTGGACCTATTTTACCAATACTCAATGTCAACAGTCTTGATGAGGCTGTTGAGTTTATTAACGACAGAGATAAGCCTCTTGCGCTTTATATTTTTTCAACAAACAAGGAAAAGATTAATTACATCATGGAAAACACTTCTTCAGGAGGATTTTGTGCAAATGACACAGTAATTCAAGCTGCAGGTATGGAAATACAAAGAGAATGCATTCCCAGAGGTGCATAGAAGGGGTCGGGGGTAATCGTCGTACCTTATCAGTAGGGATTGGTTTTGTCCCAGTAGGGTGATAATAACGAGAATAGCCTCCTTCACAGTTCCCTGCGCCATCTTCAAAGGACCGTGCCTTTTCATCAAAGCGAGACAACCGTTGACAGGAGCCGCTCCTGCCGTTGAGCGTG